TAATAATAATAATAATAATAATAATAATAATAATAATAATAATAATATGCCACCTGGCTATCAAAGACTCTGATGACAGACAAGATCCAATCTGAAACCAGAAGATGCTTTATTGGAAAGTTTACCAAAAAGCCACAACGGTTGCAGCTTCAAATTTACAGCAATAAATTAACATGGTGGGAGAAGAGGGTGTCAAATGAAAATAGATTGGACACACGCACGCACACACACAGACAGACGGACATCATAGGCCTCATGGGACAGGCACCCACATTACTTGATATGTCAATAATTTATTTCATAATAAAAAAGCAACACAAAAATAAATACCGAAACAAAAGTAAGTTTGCGGAAACCACAGAGTAGAACAGTCTCGTGATTAAAGGCTTCTGGATCTAAGCTGCAAAAATCCAGACAACGGGGGGGGAAAAAAAAGAGATAAATAAAATTCTTTGCTGCCATCTGAGGTGGGGGTTGTTGTTGTTTTTTGCAGCCCTGATCTGGAGCCATATATGTGATTTAAAAAGAAAAAGTATAATTTTATAATGCGAGGAGCAACAACAAAAAAACATGCTAAATTTCCAAACCCAAATTTCCAAATAGTAACGAAAGGAAAAAGGGGGGTGGGGGGGAAGGGGTGATAGGGGAAAGAAATCCATCTTACAAGAAAACCTCTTTTCTTAACAAAAAATTAAATTCCTCTGGTTTTTATATAGGCGAGTGCTTTGGTTTTTACATACACCATTAAGATGCAATCCCTTATTTGATTGGACAGAGGTGCTGCCCGATTCCAAATCAACTCTTGGGCGGCTTATAACTTAAAACAAAAAACAAAATGGAATAAAAGCAGGCAAGGATTCCCTCCATTAGGGACAATCATCTCTTGTGTGCTGTGCATTTTTGGTATCCAAACGCACCCTAACATGTAAGCTAAAGTAAATCAGTTTTCAATTATCCAAGGATGGATCACATGTCTTGTGAGATAAAAGGCTGAACCAACCCAAGAATTTGCAGTTATATCATCCATGGGAGAGTTATAAAATAATAATAATCTCTACTTATTTAAAAAAAACAAAAAAAACCTAGCATCTAACAGAAGTGCCAAGCATTGTTTGCATCTAATGTGCTAATTTATGGTACGCCAGAAAGCTTTTCTTTATCTCCACATTAGCATCGCTTAAATTAGTGTTTTTCAAATTTGGCAGCTTTTAAGATGGGTGGACTTCAATTCCCAGAATTCCCCAGAAATGGGGAATTCTGGGAGTTAAAGTCCCCGTCCCCCCTAATCTTAAAGTGGCCAACTTTGAAAAATGCTAATTTGAAGCCACAGTACGCTGGTCTTCCCAGTAGGTAATGGGATGTGTCCCCCCTCCCTCTGCCCCCCCCCAAAAAAACCCCGAAAAACTTCCCAGGGATTTAAGAAGCAGGAAAGGGAAAAGTGGCAGCTGAATGAAAATGGCTTTTTTAAAAAAAATAATAATGTGCATTTCTTACAGGCGGCAGTGGTTTTGCACACAACGCAAGGCTGTGTTTCTTCCCAAACCTTTGTGGCGAGAAGAGTCCCTAAAGACAGGAAAGAAAGAAAGAGAAAAAAAAAGAGGAGGGTGAAAAAAGGGGGGGGGATTATCTTGGGGTGATGGATGGGATGTTCTGATCCCTTTTCGGTCCTTCCAGACTTCTGGAAGGGGAATTGTGGAGAGAAAAACACTTCCAGGCTCCAAGCATCCATCAACGCAAGGATCTCCAGCTTTGGCCGCTTTATGCCTGGTGGACTTCAACTCCCAGAATTCCCCAGCCAGTCATGGGCTGGGGAATTCTGGGAGTTGAAGTCCATCAGTCCTAAAAGTGGCCAAGGTTGGAGATCCGAGCATAGAAAGCGGGCACCAATTCTTAGGTCCCTCCTGGGTTTTTTTTGGAAAACTGGTATATAGATTTAAATATGAACAATATTACACGTATCTCGTACAAAAAGAACCTGTATGGTAAAATGTATATAATTATTTTATATATATGTGTGTATAAATCATATATATATATACAGACACACTCACACACACATATATCTGTATCTATATGCATATGTCTCTCAAATATTTCCAAGTGGCCCTTAAATTGATATCCAATATGGATTACCTACCATGACTATGGTATCAACAGCTTTTAATTCTGATTTAAGCCTTTTGACGCCTGATTGCAAGGGAAATGGACACCGACCGAAGAAGGGGGGAGCTTTTACCCCACGGAAGCTCCTCTCTGTTCTCCAAAAAAGCAGTAAAGACTTCTTCCTTTAGAGGTGTTTTCCCCTACCAGAGGGTTAGTCCAACTAGCCTCTCATATTGTACAACCGCCTCCTCATCTGATCAGCCGTTGGCTTCCCCTTCCAATGCGCCACCCACATGTGACAGGGGTGGCCGAGGAGCCCATAGCTGCTAGGAAGAAAGTACACAGAGGTTGGTCAATGGACAAGGTGAGAGGCCCTAACCACAGCAGGGAAGAAAAAAAACCCTGGTGGAACTCTCTAGGGATAAGCCCAATGCGTAGCTTTTACCAAGTCAAGGCCACCACAATGGTCTTAACTACGGTTGGACCTCCCTTGGATACGCTCAAGAATTTCGGTGGGTTTACGGTTGTCAGAGCATCTCCCTTCAACTTCTGCCTAGGTCCATAATCGCTTGTCCATCTCCTAAAACTAGGGAAGACTTCTCAGTCACAAGGAAGCATCGCACAAATACGGAGGACCTCTTCTGGAGTTGACCAAGGGCGCCCCATCCAGCACCAGAGAGAAGAGGAACAAGGGGAGGACAAAGCTAGAGTCAAGAGCCTCAGGGCAATCGACTCTCGGCCAATCGAGAAAGAACACCATTAGAATTTAGGATGGATGGCGCGGTTTCCTTCATCAATAGTCCGTGTCTTCCTCAGATGTAGCAGCTTTCAACCAGGAGCTAGGAACATCATGGCCTCTGTTGACTAAGAGCCCAGGAGAGCTGCAGTGGGATGTATTGGGGGGGACACCAGGTTGGGGAAGGCACCTCTAAACATTTGTTCCGTCTTTGTGGAGCCCAGTTAACTCGTCCCTCGTTTTCCAGGGCTCCGCTTTCAGCTGGCCCTGGAGGGGAGAGGAGAGGAGAGGATCCAAGCTTCTTATGCCCACTCGGGCCACTGGCGTTTCTTTTCTGAAACTCAGACAGTGCAATCTAACTCCTCCCTCCGCTTTTAAGGATTCGGGAAGCTTGCAGAGAACTCAGGGTGTCCCAAAGCACATTTTCAGAGAAAAATAACACAAAGCAACTCAACTCCTGTTCTTCCTCCAACTTTTTGTGAGGGAGTCCAAAGCAGCAAGGATAAACCCCAGGTGTTAACTGGTCTTCAAGAGGGTTAGGGGAGGCCGGAGGGAGACCCCCCACTTGTGAGTTCATCTGAAGCCAACACATAAGTGGACACACAGCCATTAGCTTTGCTCGTTCTTCCTGATCTGGGCAGTCAAAATTAGCCCCCTCCTCACCACTAAACTACTGAATGGCACAGAAGAGCATTAAGTGCCAACAAGTCTACATATGCTGAAGGTGAGGTACAAGATCTGTGCTGTCCATGCACCCAACTACCACTAGTGCTACATTCACAGTGTTAGTAACTCCACCCAGGATTCACCTACACAGAGGTTAAGGGCTAACTCTTAACTCTTTCTTATTTGCTTTCAATTGTGAACGCACCCACAGAAGAGAGGTCACAATCTACCGGTATTAGCTGCAGCGGAGCGTTAAGTGGGAGCTTTGAGACAGCCCAAGAAAACACCACTGGAACTAGGATTTGGGGAAGCCAGGTCTTCAGCTCAAATCCAACCACAACAGAGGGGATGTGTTTGACAAGGCGGGGGATGCAAACATGTAAGACGCCTGGGGCAACTGGAATCAGTCCTAGATCGCCACATGATGTGGGTGAGGCACAACATTTGGACGATGCCACCATGTAAATGTTGCCTCCCCAGATTCCAACAGAAAATTGGAATTTTTCTCTCTGCTGAGTTGGCTTCAGCCAAGCAGGAGGCAGCAATTTTATTACTGACCCATCTGAAGAGACCTTTATCTGAGGCTTCGGTTCTCCCACTGGAAGTCTGAGAGCTCTTTACTCTTGAAACCTTACAAAAACAGCACAGAAGGACTTTGGAAGGGCCGCTTCCTCGCCTCGCAACTCCCAGTTCCAAGCCTTCTTTCCCTGCTCTTCATCATCATCCCTCACCAACAACCCAACTCTAACCATGGTTCATCCCTCTGCCTCCTCTGTAAATCCACAAACTGCTTTCTCTCTGCTCTGCTCTCTATACCATCTTCTCGAGTCCGAGCAAACTCCATCCACGCACTCGCCTCGTTCTCTGCACACATACAAACGGCAGCCTCTATCCTTCCTTCTCGCCCTGTTGGCGAGCTCTGATTTTTCTCCCTGCTTCTCAGAACCACAAGACCCACTTTAATTCGCCTCCAAAAAAAAAACCCCGAAAGGTACCAACTTCTAAATCTTCCTGGGTTCCTCTGCGCCATTTGTTATCTTCGAAGCTTGCTGAGCACTATCCTGAGGAGCCCGATTCCCTGTAGATGTTTAGATCTAATTCTTTCTGCTTTTTACTTCACGTTCGCTTTTGACCTCTCTTGATGTTCGAGAGCCCCCAAACAAGAGGAGATATCATGGATAAGGCTGTGGGTTGAATTCACATTTCTTTCTGAATCTTCCTTGTCCCAAAAGATTCCCCCCCCCCCCTGTTTTTTCCCAGCGTGTCTTGGGCTTATAAACCTTTCGCTTTTCTAAGTCATGCTGATTCAAAAAGGCATCAATTTGACCGCACTATCCTTTTCCACGAGTTCCTCTTCTGGTAAATTATCTTTTTTTTCCTCACACAACCTAGCCACCAAGTCTAGCCCCACATGGCCTGCTCACCGTACATTTCCCGTCCCGCCCCCCCTCACCCTACGACGCTGTAGAACCGGGATGATGACACTGACCGAGATGTATTGTTTGGAAACCACACAACCACATCAAAAGAGGAGGCCCAATTCACAGGCACATCACGGGAAGCAGCTTCAGCGGCGTTTTTGCGTTGTAGACGCTCTTCCATTTTGCTGGACTCCTGACCAAAAGGACCTCCGGCCGGGATGGAGCAGCAGCAGGGACCAGAGGATGAACTGAAGATCCACTCACCCTGGCCGTCTGGGTTTGGAGAGAAAACACCTCGTGGTGTGAAAATCGGGGTGCAGGGACTGTCCCCAAACCTTGATCCCCACCCCCCCACAACCTATAAAGACAGCTACGATGGGGCTGCTTTTACTTTTTCTTTCCTAACTAGAGGAAGAGGGGTTGTTTTTTTATCCCGTGGCCTGACGATTCTACCATGTTATCCGTTTGAAATTTTCGCCGAGCGCCCGTTCCTTCGATACCTCATGTCGACTGGGGCTTAAACGAAGACCAGCGAGGAAGAGAGAGCTGTGCGAGGCGCCTCCGTCGGATTCCGGCAGGGCTAGACGTGGAATTTCAATTTCAGCCCCCGAAGGGCTTACTGAGCAAGAGGTAAAGCCGCCAGTTCACTTCCCCTTCGGAGAGCCTGCCGCTACGTGGCTGGCCAGCTCCCTTTCGGGGGGAGGGGGAAGGCGGACGTCTGATTCGAGGGAAGGAGAAGCGGGCTCTGCCGAGTCCCCTCCTCCAGCCAGGCAGCGAGTTCTCTCTCCTTGGACATTAGGACGCCGCCGAGAACGGCACGGAGCTGGAGGAGATTTCGGCGGACTTGACGATGGTGATGACGCTGGTGGTGGCCACTTTGGTGGGGGTGATGGGGCCGCGGGCCACGGTGCGCGCGAAGGTCTGCAGGGCTTCGTACTTGGAGCGCAAGGCATCCAGCTCCAATTTCATGCTGCTGTTCTCCCGAGCCAGCTTCTCCACTTCCTGCTGCAGCTCCACCCGCTGCCTCTCCAGTTCCTCCTTCTGCGTCACCCGCTTGATCCGGCAGCTGGCCGCGTAGCCCCGGTTCTTGAGCGTCCGCCGCCGTTGCTTCAAGCGAATCACCTCCTCTTTGGTGAGACCTCGCAGGTGCTGGTTCAACTCCCGCACAGACATCGACACGAGTTCATCATCGCTCAGCACCGGGGCGTTTTCTCCCGACTCCTCCTTGACCTAAAGGGCAACAACAGGACAAAACTTGTGATGATGTCGTGCCAGGTCAAGGGTGTCCAACCTTGGCCGCTCCTGCACTACCAGATCAGGGTTGCAACGTGGTGAACACCAGATCATCAATTAGGAAGTATTTTGTGTGGGCAGCTCCAAAAAATCTCCAAAAACTCCCAAGAATTCAACGGTCAAGACCAGCCATTAGGTATCAACCCTAAAGCTGACCTGCCACACTGGAGTAGAGATAGCTGGGGGTTTGTAGCCAAAATAAAATACTTTCTCCTGGGAACCAAGGACGTTCTCACACCTAGCCAGAGTGAGTAGGAGCGAGGTTACCAAGCGACCAGACGGCACTCTGATTGGACCATGTGACTGTTTGGGGAAGGGGGAAAACTTTTACTTTTAATTAGGCAAGAACCGCGGGAACCTTCAATCGGTTTTCACCAGATCTGTGCCAACATGACATATCAAATAAAACTATTCTCTGAGGAATCTACCTGCCCTGGGGTTTTATTCCCCATGAGTGTATTACTTGGAACCCTGACAGTAGGAATGAATTTGGCTATTTTTAGAATTTTGAGTGAGAATCCCAAGGAAACAAACGCGAACTTACATTTTTATGTCCAGGAGATGCAGTGACTGTCTTTGACTCAAACTATTTTGTGCCTGCAATTTCCCTCTTTGCTCAACGTTACCGTTATTATGATTTTTGAAGAAGTTAATGCTATTCTGTAACTGACTTGCTTCTGTAATTAGTACCAGTAGCCAACTGCCAACTCTCTGACAGACCAGACAGGAAACATGACCCCATGAGCTAATTTTGTTTTATTGGAAGGCTACGTTAACAGAATCTTGAAAGTATAAAAGTACGAATCTCCCGCCATCTCTTTTTCAGCCAGAAAAGTTAGGGAGATTCTTTTGTGAGTCTCTTTCTCTGGCCATTACACAGCTTTGCGCTCTCTTATCCAATCATTTCATAGGTAGCATCTCTTTCTCCTCTCCTGGATCCCCAAGATAATCCCCACGTAACGTTATAGTACCCCAACTCTCTGATGAGGAATCCGTATTTAAAATATTTGGTATAACCGTAATGCTTTAAAACATTGGAATGTGACACTATGAGACCAATCAGTGGCCAAGCTTTTTTTTTGACTGCTGTACTATGCGAGCAGCCAGAAAGCAATTTTATAGTGGCTTAAATCTTATTTTCCTACCTGGAAGTTAAACTTGGGAGACACCATTTATTCTACGGCTGTGTTGAACATAGGTTGAACCATGAATTTTACTAAAGTTCAGGTGAGTATATTGTTCATTATTCGAAACCAAAGTTAGAATTATCTTGGGTTTTTTTAAAAATAAAGGTTTCTGATGAAGTTTTCGTCTTCAAGAAAGACACCCTCATATTTTACTTTTGGGGCACAGACTGACTTTTGGAAAAGGGGCAGAAAAGGGCAACGGGGACCCAAACGTTGACATCTTGAACGGTTCACTGAAGATGCCACTTTAAAAAAAAAATCCAACCGAGCCTTACCTTAAATGCTTTGTTTGGCTTTGGATTAGTCGTCATAACCTGGACACAGTCACCTGGACAGAATTGTTCAGAAATTGCAACTGGAGAAAAAGAGGGAAGAGAAAGAGAGAGAAAACAGGCTAAGAGAAAAGAACAACGCATTTTTGTTGAAACTCAAGACAGGCAGCTGTCCTGGCAGGGCTATTTCACACAATGGTTCTTAGAGGTTGCTTTTGTGAAATGTCCCTTCCAAATTTTACTTCCCCAGCCGCTCAATCCACCCTCAACGTCTCAGGATCCCTGGACTTCCATAGGAACACGCTCATCCATTAGTACTACTGGTAGTCCTCAACTTACGACCGCAATGCAGCCCCCAAATTCAGGTTGCTACGTGAGTTGTGCCCAATTTTATGACTTGTCTTGCCACCGTCGTTTGTCACCCGGTTGTGAAGTGAATCTGGCTTCCACGTCAACTTTGTCAGAAGGGCGCAAAAGGGGATCATGTGACCCTCCAAGGACACTGCGACCGTCATAAATATGAGACCTTTGCCAAGCGTCTGAATTTTGACCACATGGCCAAGGAGAACGCTGCAACGGTCGTATGTGTGAAAAAGACTCATAAGTCACTTTTTTTCCAGGGATGTTGTGACTTTGAGAGGTCACTAAATGAAGTCAAGTATTACAAGATACAAACAAGCAAGAGACTTCATCAACCATCTCATAAGAATGACTGGCCTGCTTTTCTTTTCTCTTTCTTTCTTTCTTTCTTCCTTCCTTGTCTTCCTTCCTTCCTTTCTTTCAAGCAGCTGCTAGGAGAATAGCGTCTTCCTTATCTCCAATTTGGAATGCCGTCATGAAAAAGAGGAAAGAGGGACAACGGGCAGGAGGAGTGGAAGGAGATTCCTGCGAGCTTTGCCCATATCCTCCGGGGTTACAGCGATCCTGTAGCTCTCCTGACTTTCACATCGCAAGCCAGGCTAGACTTTCCACACTGTTAAACCCAGAGTCCTCAGATGACTTCCCGGCGTAACAGCACATCTTTTAACCACCAGCCACCCAGAAAAGGCTGTTTCCTCATCCTGGCTTTGAAAACAGATGGCCGTTTGAATCTTGATCCCTTGCCAGACCCGAGTTTCCAGAGATGGAATTTCTAGATCCAGAAGAATTCAGCTCATCCAGAGATTCGGTTTGCTCGGAACGGCCCCCCCAAAACCAATTCCCACCCCCTTTTCCCCCCCCCCTCCGAGCCTCTATAAAGCTAGCTCCAAGTTCGCTTTCTGTGCTTTTTCTCCAAAGCAGGAGAAAGCCCGTCCCCAATAACCCAACCCCAACTTCCACCCTCGTCCCATGCCCCAGTCAAAACGAAACGAGAAACAAAACCATCCACCGAGCGATCGTTCTCTTCCTGGCTCTTCAAAGACAGAAAAGTCGCCTACCTCTCCCAGCCCCACCTGTTAAGCGACCTGTTCTTCTTCGCAAGGCAGCACGAATCGACAGATGAGAAGACAAGGATGGAGCACCGGGGGGGGGAGTCGGGGGGGGGTGTCTCATAAGCAGAGAAAACAAGGCACCGCTTTCCTTACTGGGCTGGCATCGTCTCAGCCCACTGCTGTAAGAGGAGGGAGCCCCCCTGGTCTTCCAGCCCGGGGAGAATTTGACCAAGCAGCAATGCCCCTCCGCGCACTCCGGCTGCCCTTCACTCTCACCTCAGGTACTCTCAACTCCTTCCGAGACTGACTGTCTAGACTTCGGCGCAGAGCCTTCACCTGCATCGCACAGCCCAGAGGAGGAGGAGGAGGAGGAAGGGAAGGATGACACCCTTGGAGCGGTTTTCAGAGAGCCGTGTACCTACCACCGATGGAGAGGGCAATGCAGCTGTGACATCACAGGGGGCTTCCTTCTCCCCGCCAGCTTAGGCCGCCCCAGCCAGGCTCAAACATGAAAAGCCGACGTGCCTGGGAAGCGCCAGGCTTGGGTGGGCTGCAACGGTGCCAGACATGGGGAGACCCCTCGGACCAGGCCGCCACCCACCCGTCCAAGAAGCAAACGGGGGCTGGGCTGGTGGCGATGGCAAACCCGGGTTCTCCACGCACGTCTACAGGATGTCACACATTCTAATCATTTCAAAACATAAAAAATAATAAATAAAAATAAATAAAAATAAAAAATAAAAGAAGAGGAGAAGACGAAGGCATCTAGCCAAAGCATCCCAAGCATGATTTCCTTCCGATAGTTGCTATGGTGACCTTGGGAAAGTCGCCAACCCTGAGATGGTAGCCATGGAAACAAGAGAAGCCCAAAAGCAAATCATGACTTGGGGTCATCTCTGTGCAAAGGCGTTGGGGGGGGGGGGGGAGAGAGAGAGAGAGAAAGAAGAGAGAGAAGAATCAACAACCCCATGCATTTCAGGAGGCCTGGGGGAGAAGGAGAAGAGAGGTAGGGGGAGAGGATGTGGGGGGAGGGCTTGGGAGGGGGCTGTTGTTGGCTGGCTCAGCCCCAGGGGCTCCTTGTGCCAAGCAGCACCGTTCACCGTCACGGCCAAAGGATGGGCGCAAACAGAGCTGGTACCGGGAGCGCCGTGGCTCTTGCCTTGGGAGGGGCAAGCCAAGTTTTCTAACGGGCACTGGACATCCCCTCGCCCAGCCCTTCCTCCTCGGCCCCTCAGAACTGCCCCACCGAAGACCACGCCTCTGCAATGCCCCGGGGCCCCCACCCCTTTTTTTTAAAGAAACAGACAAGCAATAAGGCCACCCGAGAAGGGAAGGTGTGTCCGGAGAACTTGCCTCCTTCTGCCTGCTTAGCAAAGGCCGCCTATCCGCAGGCATCCCCGACACACTAAACCAAACCAAACCATCTCAGGGCGGCCTTCTAAGACGGTGGCTTGTTCAACTTCCAAAGCTTAACAGTACAGAAACAGCACGGAAGGCAGAAGCAACTTTCCCCTCCCCGGATTCTTAACCAAGGTTTGGAGCAGGCAGGAAGAGCTGAACCAAGGACGCTGCGGGGAGAGAGAAGTGTTAAAAACGGTCAGGATGCCCACGGCTGCCTGGAGCTGCTTGGCGCTTCCCAGAATACAAACAGCCTGAACTTCACACGTGGAAGAACCCTGGCTGGAATGACCGGTGGGGTGGGGTGAGGGGTCAACCAGGGCAAGCACAGCTGGGAGCATGGGGAGGGGAAGGGGCAGCGAATAGGGGGGTGGAGGCACGCCAGGTTTGGCTTCCTGCAAAGGAGCCGAGGGCCCTGGGTGCAAAAGTTCCAAGGCAGAAGAAGAGGAAGCAAGGCAGCAAGAGAAGGATTACCTCGGACTTGCAAAGCTTTTCCCAGAGCCTTGTTCATTCCTTTACCGCTGTCCTCTCCTGCCCTCATGCTTGGAAGCGGTTGCCGGGCGTCCCGGGAGCCCACTCAAGGTGTTGGGACCCCTCCTTGGAGGAAGGGGGCACCTGCAGGCAGCGGGGGGCCAGGGCACGGGGGCGAGGGGGGACGGGCGGGCGGAGGGGGTGGGGGTCTCTCCGGGAATCCTTTCCGAGCGCAAGGCGAGTGGAAGCCGTTCCTCCCTATCCTGGGGTAGGCGCACACACGCAGCATGGCTCAGCATACGCGTCCCGCCAGAGCCATAGCTATGCGATGAGTCACCAGCTGTTTACAGAGTGGGGGAACAGCGCTCGCATTCCCAGAGAGCCAGCCACACTTCCTTCTCCTCCCCCTGGTCGGCCTGCCCAGCCCGGCCACCGAGTCTCCCCTCCCCAAGCCCTAGAAGGCAAAAGGCAAGACGCCGAGGCCGCTGGCTGCTGCTGCTGCTCCTCCACCGACTTGGCAGTTAGGCCAGAAAAGGGAACTTCAAAAACACACGTTTGAAAAAAGAAATGCGCTGAAAAGCGGGAGGGGAAATGGAAGCAACATTCGGGCCCCATCCCGTCCCCAAGGATTTCTTTCTTTTTTAAAGCCTCTTGATCTTTGACCAGGGAAATCTTCAAAGGCCTGGCTCTCCCCCCGCAGCAGAGTAACACCCAATCAATGGAAAAAGCTGTGTGCAAACACACTTGGGCGTCTGGGAGAAAGGTGCCTCCAGTGCAGTGTGTGTGCCTGCCCACCCCCCCCCACCTGTTCACTTTTCTAGGGTCTTCTAACAACGATCCCCTATCTTGGGTCCCACCTGTTGCAATTTTACACACCCAGGTTTTATGGCGGCTTTTTTGCTGTCCTACCTGCTAGCACAGCTGGCTGAGGAAATTCTGGGAGTTACCAAGCTTGGAGGACCTCTCTGCTAGCAAAATCTACTCAAATTTTGCCCCGAAATAGAACTATCTACAGGTGGCATTCACAAAAGGCCAATCTGAAAGAATGTGGTTGGCTTCGGGGCAACGCAAAGCAACAAAGCATTTGGCTTCCCTTTGTATTATGCGTTTCTATTCCACTTAATACATGTTTCTGTAGCATTCTATAGCCGTGAGGGCGAACCTTTGGCACGCGTGCCAGAAGTGGCACCTCTGTGGGCACATGAGCCGTCAGCCCAGCTCAGTTCCACTGTGCATGCGTGTGCACCTCCCGCCAGCCAGCTGGTTTTGGGGTATCTGCTGCGCATGCGTGGGGGCAGAGGTGCACGTGTGTGTATGTGCAGGGGGGATGGGGGAGCATGGGGGTGGGTGGGTTGCATGCGCATTGCATTATGGGTGCAGGCACACGTGTGTGCACACACATGCACACTTTTGGCCCGCAATGACAAAAAGGTTAGCCATCACTGTTCTATAGCAGGGGTTGCCAACCGTTTGGACCCCAGGGACCACCAAACTCATCATTTTAAATGCTGCAGACCAGAGACCCTGGGAAAATCCCCCCAAAATGTCTGCAGGAAAATTCCCCACCCCGTTTTCCTACCAATCAATCATTCTTTATTTGGATCGCAGGATACCGTCTCCAGCTCCGTTCTCAGGGGGAGGGGGAGAGAGAGAGAGAGAGAGAGAGAGAGAGAGAGAGAGAGAGAGAGAGAGACTTTTGGCTTCATGCAAGGAAAGCAGCAGAAGCAGAAGTCTTCCTTCTTCTTCTGCCAAGGTGCAATTTTCTCTCTCGGGATTTCTGGACAATGACCAGAGAATCTTCCGTGGTCTGGTGGAAAGCTCTGCTGAGGCTGCAGACAGCTTTGGATAACAAGGACCATGAAGCAGTGAAGTGAGGAAAGGAAAAAAAAAAAAGAAGCCTTGCCCTTTAAGGAAAAAGGCTAAGTTCTTTCCTTTTGTGGATTCAAATTTCCTGGCTGGGAGGTTTTAATGCAAAATGATTTGGTCAGCTGTGTTGAAAGTCAGAATCCATTTATTAATAGGCAGGCAGATAAGAAGAAATCTCACAGCGTTCCTAGGTTTAATCTAATAAGTGAGGAGGAAAACCTCTCTCTTACAGACTTCAGGTTCTTTGATTTGTAAGGGAAGTCTTTGATTTTTGTGTGTTGAATTCCTGTCTCTGTGAGATCGGGATCTCTTCCTGGGATCTTGGTAGGAGTAATTCTTTTATAGTCCAAACTCTGTTTTTCCCTGATCCTTTGTAGCTACCAGTTTGCACCTGGTTGTAATATCCTGAGTTTTCTGTTATGCTGTTTGCTTTTCACAAGGTTTTTGAAACTTGCTAATGGGAAAGGATCCTAACTGATGTGTGTCCCGTGCAAAGGTGGGGGCTAATGGAGCTGTCCCTCCTTGTGTTTTCACCTCTCCTTTCTTTTAGGGGAATTTTCCTTCCCCTTCTAATGTTTTCCTAGAAGAGAGCGGAATCCTAACTTCCAACAGAAGGAAGAGGGAGGCAAGGCTATGCTTCAGGCAAACAGAGATCGGGGAAGGATACTATAGTGAACCTGGTTGTGTTCCCAAGATGCCACAACCATTGTTTAGGCAATTTACCTGACTCCCTGTATTCAAAAGTGACATATTAACCACGCACGGTGGGTTGTCTGCACCACCAACGGAGGTGTTTCGAAGCTCGCTCTGCCAAAGGGGAAACACGCCGCAGATTCTACAAATGTCCAAAGGAAATCCTGCCAGCAAATGTGTCGTCAATAACGCAGGCTCCTGTTGACTTCATCTCTTGTAACCTCTTGTCAGGAGTGAGGGGCTACTCCGTCTCTCTAAATCCTCGGCTGAGGTTGACGAATGATGAAAAGCTAAAGCACGTTTTGTGTAGTTTGAGACTTTCCCGGCGTTCCCGCTTTAAGTGAGCTTTTCCGGATCTTTCAGACACCAACGCTGACTTGAACCAACTCTCGCTCCCAGCTGGGGCCAATGGGAACTGTAGTCCTAAAAGACTACGAAATGCATCGAGCTGGGAAAAGCTGAGAAAGTACTTGTACCAAAGTCCACTTCGCCCCGCAGCCAAGAGGCCTTCCCAAAACATCTTTTTCCCAGAGCTCCCATCTATGGCGAAGGGAAGTGTTTTATTATTGTTATTTTTGTTCCAAGCAGAGCTCCGCTTTTCTCTGCTCAGGCTCTCTCCAAAGTACAAAACAGGGTTAATTATAATTTGCGCAAAGCCCTGCTGATACCGCCAGCTACCGCTGGGTAACATCCGGTCCGTCGTGTTTAGGAAGTGGCTGCGAGGAAGAAGATTTCTCGGGTGTTGGAGACGCGAAGGGAGAAAAAAAAAAGAACACACACGCACACAGAGCGAGCTGTGGCTTCCATCAGTGCCAAGGAAGAAAGGTAAATGAATTCCATCTTACATCCCAGCAGGCTGGCTGGGGGAGTTGTTTGAATAGGACTGCAGGGGACCTTTAAAAAAAATCTTTTTTCATGTAAATAAGAAAAGAAAAGGAAGCTGCTCCAAACTTCCCATTCTGAGAGGTTGTGAAAGGTTCGATAGTTCTGCTTCTATCTTCTTCTGAGCCCCCATTTATGACGGTAAGGCAGCAAAAACACAGCATTTCTCTCTGGCATCTACTGCTTGTCCTTGCCATAGAGAAGTTTGCTTGGTGGGCTAATTACATATTCAGACAGTCTCCTCTCTACTCCAGGGCCCCTTTCTTAGATCTCAAAGGAGAGACGGAGGAAGAGGGAGAAGGAAAAGACGAAGCGCTTGAGAGCATTTCCAGAACTGAAATGATTTCATCTCTGGAAGCTCTTGCAAACTGGGGGATTCCTCCCTCTCCTGGCACCTTGTCACTCGGCATTTATGGCATTATCGTTATTTTTTGCACACTGTGGTTTAGCCCGCCCCTCCCCCCACAATTCTCCAAATTACTGCAGACAGACAGTCTCAGTTCCTTATGGAGAGCAACTCCCTCCCAATTGCTGAGGGTCTTCAATGGGAAGCCAGTTCTCCTTGAACAAACTAGACACGGACAGGTCTCTTCTGGGGGGGGGGGGGGGGGAGTCACTAAGATGTCCACCTCTAGTCCAGCCTAAGCAGTGAACCAAAGATGCAAGAAGATTGCAGAAGCATCATCGTACAGACGTCAAATCAAGACCTGGCGAGGACTTGGCTCGCGGCATGGAGGGTTACATGGAAGGAGAGGATGAAGCATCGGTTCCTCATTTAGAATTCAGAGTTGAGCTGTTCTTGTGGAAGTACCTCCACTTACTAATATTGAGAGTAGACCACAGAGAGACAAATAGATTTGAAGGCCAGGAAAATCCGTTAGTTTTGCAACCGGCCACTCCGCTGCAGCATCTAGTTCAAGCAACTGCCTCCCCCCCCCCACCGCCCCCCGCCGGCCACACCTAACCCCATACCTGCTGCATGTCTTCCACGAATGCCCGGTGCCCTCTGATGCATGTTAGTAGGGAGCATGGAGGCCGAATGCACTGAATGGCTTCTTGAAGCAGTTGGGGGGGAATAGACAGAAGCGTGCATGCGCGCGTCCTTGCCGAAAAGTAAAAATGCCAGACACTCAGAAGTGTCTCCTACGGCACCTCGAATGCTGATTCATCCAACGTGGGTAAAATTCCCTTCTGAGGACAACCCCTCAAACTTTCTGAGTCAATTCCCAATCACTCAAATCGTGCCAGCCAACTACACACAACTAGAAAACAACCAATTTGAGGACTCCTAGAATAGATCTACCTACGTCTATCTAGCTTCTCCAAACTTGGGCCATTTTTAAGGCTGGTGGACTTCAACTCCCAGAATTCCTCAGGCAGCCATGTTTTGATTTGAAGGACACCAAGACGGCTTCCTGGCCTTAAGCGAAGGAGGTGGACTACAAAGATTCTTCTCTATGATTCTCTATGATAGGATGAATTATGGATCCAGGCACCCTACAAGTCTCTGGCCTCGTGATTGGACGATGGATCTGCGCACCCCAGGACTGTAGAGGGTGGTGCCACTTATGAATTCTGGGAGTTGGTCCACGAGTCTTCAAGTGCCCAAGTTTAGAGACTCCTGTTCTAGAGGTAGACCTTTCTTAGCTCAGCATGCCACTGGTCGCACAGCCTTTGCAGTGTTGCAACCACCACAGCCTTATCCAAACAACACCCCCACCCCCACC